TTTTTTTGATTTTCATTCTCACTTTTGAATCCATTTCTAAAAAAATTGATCCAAATTTAATTTGTATCAGTGGTACATATAACAGAACACCCACCATAATTGTATCCAAATTGTCCGCATGTGAAAAAAATATCGGGAAAAATGTTTTATATCTATACCTAAGTTAATTGTTACTCTCTTTGCAGATTTTTTTCGTTAAAGTGTGCTCGTCGATTTCACAAAATATCAACTACAAAAATCTTGAGGGGCTAATTTTGGAATTGTGGTTTCACGAACTTTCGTCAGGGTACGTCACTAACACGCGACCATAGCTACAATTATTACCTTGAAGTTCTAAGAAAGTCCTTTTTACACTGTAATAAACTAAAAAATCTAGTATTAAATTGAAATTTGTTTTATTATCGAATAGTTTGTATTGTAATAACCAACTCGAGTAAGAACAACATAAAAATATAATAATCTAAAAAGTATATGGTGAAGTTTGTGTAATAGTGCACTTACGAGTGCATTTATTAAAGAAATAACTAGTAATAGTAATATTTAAAAGCACAGTTCACGATAATTCTGAGGTACCAGTTTTTATCTGAAAAGCTTAAGTATAAATCGGGAATACTTCATGGTAGTGAAGAAAGCGAGAGAATTCGCCGATTTCGAGGAAAATATGGCTCCTCAAAAGTAAAGAAAATAGAGGTTGGACGAGATTGCCACGACGAGATTTCAGTTATTCCAATCGCACAAAGAGCTGACTACATCAAGCCAGAACTGTACTGTCTCGTGAAACTCGTCCAAAGATACACAAGAGCCAATCTTTGAGACTTTGTAACGCCCTAACTAGGCCGTTTTCCCACCTAATAGCGCCAGATGTGGTACACGAGGGGCCTCGAACTCATCGAATAAGGAAATCTCAGGAACTAATTTTATCGTGAACTGTGCCCTTGAATAAGCTCCCATGACATTTATCCTACTACCAGTTCAAATTTAAGAATTTGTGCCCTTTACTGCTATGATCTAACGACTTAGACCTGATCGTGTAGTGGTTCAGCAAGTCGACGCGCCATGCACATGACTTCATATCAGGGTTGGTGCAATAACTGTTCAGGTCTGAAAAGACCCAGACCATAGAAAATCCAGACCAAAGTAAGTTTTCCGCGCATCTATTGCTATGAGGGCTAACACATGATGACGGTAAAACTCGAAAAGCCAGTAGATTTATTCAGAGAAGTGACACCTTAACGTTTTGATAAGCCCTATCTTTCAATGCGCCATACACACGAATGCTCGTCAGAATTGTGACCAAATGCGTACATAGAGCACTTGGAAATTTTCATCAGTCTGTCTATGTAGAATTGCCCTTTTCGAAGGTCTTATCTTGTCCTCATGTCACGTGTTTGCTATCAATCAAAGGCACAATTCGCGATAATTTCGTTCTATGTACGCAATCTAAGCATCCAATTTTAGACGAATAACGGAAGTGATGGGCCAGATTAGTGCAAAAGTGGCAAGGAAAACGCGAAAAACAGACAGGATATTCAGAGAACTATAAGGCGAAAAGGTAAAATTAGGAGCTGGACGAGAATATGATAATAAATGTTGCACGGAGGGTGTATTTGGACGAGCTGTTTTACTGCGTGTGCCATTCCGTACAGCTGACTACAGTCTGTCTGCAAGAAGTGGGAATCGGCGCAAGTGGTGCTATCTTCAGAGCCGTTACAGCGCCCCTTGAGAACTTGTCAGCCCTTAAAGTGTAAACATCAGCTAGGCTCGTTGTGCGGCCCTTATAATACCCTATGAGGATGTATCAGGGTCCATCGTGCTATACTCGAAGATCCTATGTTCATCCTAGGAAGAAATCTCAGGAACCATTTTTGTCATGAACTGTGCCTTCGAGTGAATCTTGAAAAGGCTTCACTTGGAAAGGCTTTGTCACCTCGAAAAGGATCTAACCTAAGTGGAGATATGATAAATGAACCATTGATCCGAAAGTAACAGCCCTTCGTATCTATCATCCCTTTGGATTACGATGTGAAGTTTTTCAAACTAGTAGTTTTACGCGAAACGGGAGAGCAGTAGTATAAACGCAAAAACATATTGGAAAATTGGAAATAATAAGAAAA